GTCCATCTATAGAATGGATGACTCAGATCTATCACCCCAGAAGTCACCTTGATCAATGGTCCATATTCAATCTCAAAAAAGAGGCAAACTATGAAAACCCTAAACCTAAATTTCACTATAAATAGAAGTGCTCTCACCTCATCTCAACACACCTCTCTCCCCCACAAACTCTCTCTCTATCTTCCCTAGGGGCCATACACCTCTCTCTCCCACAAACTCTCTCTCTATCTTCCCTAGGGGCCATGCACCTCTTTCTCCTACAAACTCTCTCTCTATCTTCCTTAGGGGCCACGCTCCTCCCTTCTCTCTCCCTACTCTCTTATTTTCTCTCTCTACTCTATCTCTCTCTCTCTCTCTCTCCTAAAAGGACCCTAGGGGGCACGCCCCATCATAGAGACTCTCCCTCTCTCAAGATCTAATCTAAAGGTTGGAAAAATTAGGGTTCGAGCATTATTATTTTGGAGTTAGGGTTTTATAGAGATTTAATGGTGGTTATCTAGTATGGCCGGATTTAGCATTCCCGGTTCGAGATTGAAGCTGGATCGCTGATCTTGTGCCATTGGATGTAGTGACTCGGTGTAGGGTGAAAAAGCTCGGTTGAGGTAATCTCCGACATATTTGTTTTTAAATTGTTTGTTCTTTTATTTTATAATCTCAAGCACAATATTAGGTTGCATGAATGACATCAAGTATGTTGAGATTTATTTTATTGATGTGTTATTTAATTTTGAAATTTCTATTGTTTGTAATAAGACTACCTGTGAGTGATCTTGGTGCCAAATTTATAAGGGGTGATTATTATTTAAAAAAAAAGAAGTTGTATTTCCCCGGCATCAGATTACATAGGTCTTTCTTTCAGGAACCTAACTATGAAAAGTTTATAGTTGTGAAATAGGGTAGTTACAATTTGCCTCCCAAAAAAATTAATGTCTATGACCCTATGAACATAATAAGCTCACTTCATAAACTAATTCAGAAAGACCTCACTATGAAAAGTTTATAGTTGTGAAATAGGGTAGTTACAATCTGCCTCCCAAAAAGGTTAATGTCTATGACCCTATGTACATAATAAGCTCACTTCATAAACTAATTCAGAAAGACCATAAAACAAAGCAGGCAGTATGGCATTGACCTAGAAGGATTGATATTCATTATGTTGCATTGTAATGGTGCCTTCCCACTAGGGGGACTTTTGAAAGGGAGTGACAGATCAACCTTTTAACCACCATGATAGGGCATCATAAATGTTTGAAGTCTCACTCCAAAAAGTCTTCAAATTCTGAGAAGTCACACCCCAATGCACATCAGCTGATTTATCCTTGATGCAAGAGGACTTGGTGTTCGGAAAACAAAATCATCATTGACCAAATCACCATTCCGAGAAGCAACGACTGTTGTATGAACATGAAAATCAGGTACTAAAAATCTACTTTCTTTTGAATGGCGACCGGCTTGTCAACGAATCGTGTGGTTCCAACATTAGGTTGTCACGGAATGCATCAGTATCAGAGGACTTTGGCAGAGAATTGATAATTGGAAGAAACTTCATGGACCTCCACCTTGACCGATTATTAATCCTCCTGAGATGAGCAATCACCTAGGGATAGATTTCCATTACATAATCATGGTTTAGAAATTTCGGAAAATCAGTCAACCAACACATAAGCTATTCACTGTTTAAGTACACATCAAGCACACATTATGAGGGGTCATATGTTGAATTATCGGTGGAGGCGCAATTTCGAGTTTTGTTGCCATCAAATTAAAGTTGTTTAAAGGAAAACAACCTATGTAATATATTAAACTAAAAAAAGAAGTCCGAAGCCTTCTTCATATTGGGCGAAGTACTGAATTGTTTCATTTTTCGTATCAAACTGAAGAAGACTCTGACAACATAAGTTTCATCACCTTAATTCATATTTTCCATATTTTTTTTAAATTGTTCCTTTCTGAATATTGAGCTGGCTCTAAATTTCATGAAAGATAATTTATATAAAAATATTTAAAAATTAAGTACTTTGAATCAAAGGTCAAATGGTCAGGATAGTAATTCGTGACATTATGACAAAAACAATTCTAGCAATCCAATTAGATTAAAATGACAAAGGGAGGAAATATATTTTAATTTATATAAAGAAAGACACAGATTGTAGGACTAGGGTTGGAAATGAGCCAGTTGTCATGACCTGGTCCGGTCAGCAGACACTAAAAATGTTAAGGCCCTGGACGATAAGGGCTGAGCAGGCCTAGCTTGGGACACGGCATGATAAGGTCGGCCCAGCTTGCCCTTTTTCGTTCTTACTCTTATTTATTTTTTTTACATTGTGATTGGCCTGGTCAGGTCCTCACAGAGCCAAGGCCTCTTCGGCCCCATCTGGCTAGGTTGGGCTCAGTCCAGCCCTATGAAGACCCATCGCCAGAGTTGGTCCAGCCCATTGCCAACCCTACTAATTTCCTTGGATAGGGACGAGGGCATGCGACCTTTCCTCAAATTTACATGGGAAATAATTTCTGGCTATTATCTTCCACAAAATATCTTGGGGTGTCTTTTTCCTAGATTCTTTTTCAGTCAATTGCTTGTGACTATTACATTCGATGATCACTTAAGAAAAATCTATTCTTCCTTTCTTGGAAGCTCCTGCACATCAAATTCAAAATGCATTAAACTTTGGAGGAAAGGAATAAGGGTACCAGAAAAGTGAACGTAATAAAGTAACACCATGTTTTACAAACGACATTCCGTTTTTTTTGCCCTCAGCAAAAAGGATTTTGGACACAGTTTCTATGCGCTCAGCCCATATATTGCTAAAATGCGAGCTTTAGAATAAATATGTTTTTAAATATAATTTTATGAGAATATATAATTTTTAACATGAAGATCATGAATATGAACAAATAATTGAAAACTAAAAATAGTATTTATATTAAAAAACATTTGGACCATGAGTTACACTTGCTTTTAGATGGACCACACATATAGAAATCTCATAATTTATGGAATTCATTGAGATTGATGCATATTATGTGGAATTGAGATATTCTCATATTTTGTGGGATTGAGATATTTTTATATTAGGTAGAATTAAGATATTCCCATATTTTGTGGGATTGAGATATTTCCATATTATGTGAGATTGAGATATTTCAATATATTATGAAATTGATATTGATATTGATATCGACAAAGTTCCTAAAAATAGAAATCCAATAAGATTAAGAATCTTGGATATGTCTCTTGGACTTTTGAGATATATGTGATATTCAATTATATATATGGAATGACAGTACAGAGAATTTGATGCTCAATTTGAGTCTCGAAATAGTATTTCCTCTCTAGATAGAGAGAGAGGGGGAAAGGCTTTAGGGGATGGGGAAATAGAGCCTCCTATGCATAAGATGGTTTTTTGGACCGAATTGTAAGAGTCCATGCAGTAATGAGTTTCCCCTTAACAATTTAACTTTGTGATGGTTTTCTGGATCTAATTGTCGAGGATATATAATCTCTAATATGGAGATCATAATAAGAAAAATAAATAAATTTTAAAAATTAAAAACAATAATTTTATAAATAAAGTATCTGGACAGTTAGTTTAAGCTGGTTTAGATGGACCGCCCATAGCGATCGTTTTTGCAAAAGTAGAAATGCGTCCCCCACCTCATGAAGCAATTTTCCCGAGTTTTATTCCTCCTGATACAGTTCCGCACCGTAAATTCGTGCCCCTGCGGCTATGCCAGCACCATCCATTAAACTTGGGTTAGAGAGAGAGAGAAACAAACTGCTTTCTCGAACCAGGAAGGGAAGGAAAAACGTTGAGTTTGAGAGAGAAAGATAATGGTTTCCCAACAGAAGCGAGCTCTTGGTTGGATAGAATGGCTAAAAGGCTGGCTCAGTCTCTTCTACGAAATTCTTTTTCAGAGGATTTGGGCTTGCCATTTGCAAAACCCATTGCATTTACCCCATCTCCATCATCTCACCTGCATTGTCACTGGTTCAACAAGTGGCATAGGCCTGGAAATCGCCAGGTAAGCTCCATAGCTTTTAACCCATCTCCTCTTCTTCTCTTTTTTTTCTTTTTTTTGCATTTGAATTGTTTTTGAGCCAATTGGTCTTGCTCATTATAATATTTGAGCATTTAGGGTTTACGTGAATAATGGTTACAGATTCATGCCGTATAGTTTTATTACTTCTGGATTTATTTGCATTTTATGCACAAAACTTGACTTGGGCTTTGTATTATTAGGAGTAAATAGTGCAAGTTCTCATGCCTATTTGGTTTATTTTTCTAAATTTTTTGTTGATTTAAATTGATCTGGTTTATTGTTTTCATTGTCTTCTTGATATGGTTTTTTGTGAAAATATTTGTTGGCTCATTTCGTATAATCTCAAGTATAGACACATCATAGATGCGAGGCTTCACAATGTCAAAATATTACAATGAGTAATAGAATTATAGAGACAGAAATTGAAAGAAGATTAATTATTGTAAAGAGCCCAATGTAGCCAAATTTATTTGAAATAAAAAGTTGTCTTTTTCTCTTCTCTTACCTTGTGTGCTTCATCATCAATCAAAGTCAGTCTGGATTGGTTCTTTGCCTTGGCCTCTAGTAAATGATTCAAAAGATATCTATTGTGTGTACTGTTGAGATCAGGGTTTCTCTCGGTGAAGTACGTTGAACTTTGCGTTTGCTATTGCTTTGGTTAATTATTGGAACTGTTTTTTATTTTCTTTCGTCTCCTTTTGATAAATTTAACCAGCATTAGCTCTCTAAGATCTGGGTTTCTTGTAGTTCAGCAGTGCAAAAACTTTAATATCTTATTTATTTATATTAGTAATCCATAAAGTTAAGGAACTGATCTAGAATTTGGTGATCCCAAAATAGGTCTTTTTTGGTTTTTTTTTTAAATTACATCATCATCATCATCATCATCATATGTTTTTCCCATTTAATTGGGGTCGGCTGCACTAATCCTGGTCAGTCATTTTTCTCTATTTAAGGCCATATCCTCAGTGAGGTTATAAGTCCCCATATCTTTTCAGATTATTTCCAACCACGTCCTATTGGACCTATCCCTTGCCCTTTTCAATCCTTCCACTTGAACTAACTCGCACCTCCTAACAGGTATTGTACTGGGTCAATGCCGCATATGGCTAGCCCACCTAAGTCTACTCTCCCTCATCTTATCACCTATTGGTGTCACATCTAAACTTTCTCAAATGGATTCATTTCGGATCCTATCCCTTCCTGTCTTATCACTCATCTACTCATTTTATGGGTACATTGTTTTTTATCCGCCCAACATTGCCCCCATAAAGCAAAGCTGGTCTCACAACTATCCTATAGAACTTACCCTTCAGCTTCATTGGTATGTAGCGTTCACTTAAAATTCCAGTTGCACATCTCCACCTTGCCCACCCAGCTTTAATTTTATGTGCAACATCTTCGTCAATCTCACCATTTTCCTAAATTATTAGCCCAAGATATCAAAAGTGCGGTCTTTTTTGTACTTCCTGGCTGTCAATCTTAACTACTTCCTCTTCTCTACTCCTATTATTATTAAAAAATCACATAATTTACTAAATTTTCATAGCAAAATTGATGATGCTTAAAGAGTTTACATTTTTTTGTAATTATAATATGCTTATTGTCATTATTATCACATTTTTCTCTTTATTTTACACTACGTTCATTTTCATCTTGTCACAAATAATTTTCTTTATTTAGCTCTATGTCCATTTTCATTCTATTTCTGCTGCAAATCTTACTCTTAACACAGGCAATTAGCAGAGTCAGGGGCGCATTTGATCATGGCTTGTAGAAACACAAAAGCTGGTGAGGAACTGATCCAGAAGTGGCAAGAAGAATGGACTGGGATGGGGGTTCCTCTAAATATTGAGGTTTTGCATTGGTTTTATGTTGCAATACCATTAGTCAATCATGAAGTTTATGCTCAAAGTAGACGCAGGGATTTGGTTACTGTAGCTTAATGGAATCTGATGAAAACTGATGCACTTCATGGCTTCTATATATTTTGAAAGCAATCATATGGCTGTTATGTTGTGAGTGGACCAAGACACATGCTTAAATTTTGATTCCAAGTAATCACAAAGTACTTTAATACCATACCTTGGATTATGAAGCACTGTTATATCTTCTTCCATGATATTTTCTCCCAAGATTAAGTACCTAGAAAAGAAATTATTTGGTGCACAGAATGCAATTATTTATTGATTATATTTAGTAAAGATTTTTTAGTTTTGGGAAGTTATGCAAGCCTCCAATATTAGGTGGCTGAACTTGTGCGTGGTGTTTCATCTATGTTTGATCTAAACTGTCCTCTATCTCCCTGTTTAAATTGCATGGTTTGTTCTTGTAATAAGCCTTGTGACTGTTTGCTGATTACATTGGTATACTGGATTTATAACCCTGAAAGCTCAAATAAGATTCCTCTGAAACCTAAATAACTTACTTACTCTGAAATTTTCTCTTAAATGTCCCTGCTGTTGATGTTTAAGGAAATTCCATGTGCCTTTATAGAGTTTAAAGTAGTTCACTTAAATTGCCAGCTATGTGTGACCTTACTGCTATAGATAATTCCATGAAACTGGCAGAGATGTAGCTGTAGAAAATTGAAGAATTGATGAGCATGATGCACATTTGTAGGTAGCATAATGAGGAGGGTGATTCTCAAGCCAGAGTTACTGTCACTTGGTGGCTTGAACTTTGGGACTCTAATGTGATGTACTTCCTGTGCACCTCCTTTAGTTAATAGCCATTGATAATAGTAGAAAAAGGAAACAAATATGTAACGTAAGTTTGTATCAAATGGTGGCCAAGAATTGCCTGGCTAGATCTTTGGAACCTGAAGATGCCCTTGGTCACTTTCTTCAGCAACCTTTGATGGTACAAACTTTCCACTTTTTACCATTATTTATTCAACAACCTTTGACAGTACAAACATTCCATTTTTTACCATAATGTAATGTGGTTAGGTCTTCATGACCGGGCGAGCACTTTTATGACTTTGTTCAACAACCTTTGATAGCATGAATATGGAATTTGTGCCAGCATAATTTCTACATCTTACTAGATGAAAAACTATGTATGACCAATAACTATTTATACCAGACATGATTAGTGTGTTATTTGACCTGTACTTGTTGCTCTCAGTGCAATATTATGAGATTCACCTTTTTCATTTTCTCTTTTTTTTTTTTTGGTGTCGGGGGGGGGGGGGGGGGGAGGGGATGACTGAGAATCCTGTAATTTGTGACTCATATCCAGGTCATGGAGCTTGATCTTCAGTCCCTTGATTCTGTTGTAAGATTTGCACGCGCATGGAATGCACGATTACTACCATTGAATGTTTTGATCAACAATGCTGGGATATTTTCAATTGGAGGTTTGTACGCGTAATGTTTAATTTATGACAATTCCTTTCTGATTTTACCTTTTCTTGATGTTGGAAGAATACTGAGTTCTAGTTACTTTCATCATCGTGGTGGAGTCCGGAATTTCTGTAATAGTTGTCTGTATATGCCTATTCACTTTTACAGTTTGCTTCACTATGATGGTTTTCTTTTTACCAGAAGATACTACTTGATATTGTTATGCAGGGACTCTTGAACAAGATAGTAACTAAGCTAAAAAATATTTGTATCACATCGTTGTGGTATTGATGTTTAAAATTTATGTCAAGTCAATCATTATCTTCAAGGCATTTTTTAATAAATATTTTCTCAAGGTATTCAAAGCATTGTAGAATTGAGCACATTCTGACAATCAATGAAACAAAAAGACTTAACATGTGTTAGAGATCATCATGGTCAGCAAAATTAAAGAGTTGGGGTGACAAAGTATTTTAATTAAATAAATTCATATACATGCAACATCAACTTGTTGTTAGGGACACATGGCACATGGGCAAACAAGCCAGTCTTTACCGTTGACTATGGTTAAAGAAATCCAGTAGGAGCTAAGGGTACTACATATTCTACCCTGGTCTCTGCAATAGGGTGGGAGGTGTGGAATATTCAAATTGAATTCACTATTTTGAAATGCTGGTTCTCTCCTGGTCTTTCTCTGCTCTGCCTAACCATGTTAATTTGATTGCATGTGTAACATTCATACTACACACTTTGTAGATTACGAGTGTTTGATCATTTGAACACGTTGATAGAAGTAAAGAATGAATTTCTAGTACTAATTTAGTCTATCTACATGTTTCAGCACCCCAGCGATTTTCAAAGGATGGATATGAAGAACATATGCAAGTGAACCATCTTGGCCCAGCACTTCTTACTATTTTGCTCCTTCCGTCTTTGATCAGAGGGACTCCGAGCCGGATAGTTAATGTCAACTCTGTTGTAAGTTCCTGGTTTGCCAAATATACATGTGATTGTGCCACTAATTGCCTCTTACTTTGGGATATAAAGGGAAGTAGGGAATTGTAGAACTCTGTTGTGAAATGATGTAAGAGAACCATACAATAGGGGTCCTTAATTCACAGGGATGTGTTGCCTTGACTTCTTCTTGATGTGACTATCCCATTTTTCCACATGTTAATATTTGTTACCGATCTTAGGAAGGAAGTTAGATAATTTTGGTTTCTTTCGAGGATAACATTATTGCCCACTGAATCAGAAGTTAATAGGGAGCAGCTGCTTTCTTTGATTGCTCAGAATGCCCCAATTTTATGGAAGGAGATGGAGTTTTCATGATTTTGGCAGTAATATATTTTGTGATGTTAAGATCTCTCTTTAAATAATCTTCAGGATCACTTCATCCAATTGCGTTATGGACTTCTTTTCCCCTTTGATAATTATTGCAGTAGTTTTGGTATTCAGTTCTACTTTAAAAGATCGGCACGTGTGTTAGAGTAGCTTTCTGCATTTCTACTTGTAAAGTTAAGGTTCATATGCAAATAGATACTTCCGGTTACGGAAAAGAATTACAAGATATCTTTTGATTCTTAAGGTGATAGAATGTACTGATGGTGGCTACTCTATTTCAACACAATTCAGAAGAAAACAAGTTTGTTCAAAAATTGCACTATGAAAAAGCAGATTAATAAAATTTAATATCCAAACTAATTGCAAAATATGACCTAGATTGCTTTTGAACTCTATGAAGATAGTAGCAAGTGAATTGGAATACGATTTATGCTTATTGTGAAAAATAGATTTTTATAGTTTTCCTTATTGTTTTCCCAGTAGATCTCATGTATATTTCTTAGTATGTTGCCCTTGAACTTGAGCTTAGTGGTAGTCATTTCATTTTGGGTGGGGAGGTCAAGGATTCAAATGCTTGATGTTTGTCCCGAAAAAGCAAACAAGCTGGCCTTTTTTTTTTCTTTCGTAATGTATCTCACATAATAATGTGTGTTTCTGTTTGTTGTGTTTGTAGATGCATCATTTAGGGTTTGTTGACCCAGATGATCTCAATTTGGTTTCTGGTAGGAGAAGGTATGGCAGTATGATTGGATACACAGGGAGCAAGCTTGCACAGGTACAAGATTCACTTGATTTCTACTCGTATTTGCGGCAGCAAAAAAGGGGAAAAGAAAATGTTGATTCCTTTTTATTTTCATTTCTCTCTTGGCTTATACTGAACAGCCAGGCTAACTGAAACCTGGTTATAGGGTTCAAATTTTAAACCCCCTGGAAGTACTAAAATGATATGCTTTAAGTAAAGTCTGGCACCGGCATATCCATTGCATTGTAATATATAGAAGTGGGTGAAATATGTGATATTATAATGAGTGATGTGAAAGGAAGCAACATACTGGATCAGCATGGACATTTACGTTAGAAATTCAGGAAAGAGGCCACTATTAGTGTTTATTGATAATTGGTTTTTTAGGAATTGGGTTTGGGCTTGTGCTGTTAGCAGTTGACTTTGGCAATGCTACATCTCAAGTTCGGTTCCTACTGCTGAACTACCAAAAAAACAATATATATTTTTGATGGGGAAAGCTGGTGTAAAACATTGGATGCACAATGTGATGTAATTTCTGGTGGTTTCAGATCATGTTCAGCAGCATTCTCCAGAAAAAGCTACCTTCAGAAGCGGGAATTAGCATCATTTGTGTCTCTCCTGGCATCGTCCACACGAACATTGTAAGTTCTATGTATGCGCATGCGTGGTTGTAGCTCTCTTTTGTTTTTATTGTGATGGAATTCTTGAGCATCTAGCACAGTTTTTCTTATTTTTGGTCTGCACTTAAGTTCTTGTATATAATTCTCCTTGCATACAGGCGAGGACACAGCCTCGGATAATTCAAGCTGGTTACCAGCTGATTCCATATTTCCTGTTCAATGCTCAAGAAGGTTAGTGTTTGCTTCCTTGCTAGAGAAATCACTGAAATAATAAATTGTTGATTTGAAAGGATGCAAAATTGGCTCGAAACCCACAAATTTTCGGAACTGGATCAAATGCCAATCCTTTTTCAAATATGAACTGTACTTTGAGGTTAAAAAAGTTCCCCACCAAAAAACGCATTGGAAAAATATTAACACATTATTCATATTGGTTTGTTTACGATATACTGTTTGGGCCTTTGGTCTTATTGAAGGTACCCAGTTTTTTCAGGGGTTGAGAGGTTAAGTATACCCCATCATCCGAATCAGGTACCTAGTAATAATCACACCCATTTATCAAAGAAAAAACTACACCAATACACATATATGCACACACACACATGCATATACATATCCATTGTGATATGTCACATGGGAGCATTGCCTCTAGTGTGGCATGATCTATAGCGAATGGTTTGTATGTCATATATTGTTTCAAAGAAATGTATGGTGCATTGATTGCTTTTGTTAAATATTTCCAAAAGTTTGTTAAATATTTCTGAACTTAATAGAATAGACAGTTTTAAATGATTCTGTCAGAGTCTTTTCCAAAGTGATGTCTACAAGCTCTCTCTCTCTCTCTCTCTTTATGCTTTTGAAAGTACCGATTTTGCCCTTTTGGAATCACCATTCCAACAAACCATCTTAGTATACAACACATTGTGGTTTGTGCTTTTAAAAATTTAAATTGATTATATCTTACTGGTGCATCTCAGGTGCAAGAAGTGCCATCTTTGCAGCTACGGATCCTCAAGTGTCTGAGTATTGTGGGGTTCTGAAGGCTGACGATTGGCCAACTTGTGCATATCTTTCTTGCGATTGCCGGCCCACAAATCCCTCGGAAGAAGCGCACAATGTGGAGACATCTCAGAGAGTGTGGGAGAAGACATTGGAGCTTGTTGGGCTCCCTTCTGATGTGGTCGAGAAGCTCCTTGAAGGTGAAGACTTTCAGTGCAAATATGGCGTTGATTGAGATTAGCTCTCAATTTCTCTAATGTGACAATTTTTGTTTTCTACAAATGAGGATAGCTCTCAATATCACTAATGTATTTTTGTTTTTCTACAAATGAGGATTTTAGTTGGAGTTAAGTTTAATCAAATTGTTTTATTTTTATTTTTCGGCGAATGTGGCTTGAAATGTTTGAGCAATTGGTCTCTCTCTGAACTCCATTTTTCCCTTTTTTTTTTTTTGAATATGAACCCAATTTCCATCTTTTATCTTTTACGATCCAACAGACTCCCCTGTCCAAGCCGTCTGTTATCGATTTTATTCAAAAATCGAAATCCTTCAATTTTTTATGTAATAATTACTTGGTTTCAGGTGTGATAGTTAAACTAAATCTGTCATAAATTAGTGCTCAGTTAAGCCCAGAAGGAGTTAATGGCCTGTAATCAAACACTGCAGAAGGTTAACCAGAAGGAGTTAATGACCTGTAATCGAACACTGCAGAAGGTTAAGAAAGAAACTCCGAATTGTTGAACTTACAGATGTTTGATGTACGATTCTGTCTCTTTTAAATCTTGGGTTATTAATACAACAAAGTATTTGGTGAATCAGCTGGCTCTCGTTTGCCTTGATTTCAAGAGATTTAGGACCTGCAACAAATCTCAAATCATTGCAAGTTAATTTCTGCTCATTTCCATAAACTTTGAAGCTTAAAAAATGACGCAGATCTGATCCTTGAATAATTGAAAATTTGAAATGAAGGAAAGAAAACAATACAAAATAAACCATTTTAAGGGTCTGAACTCTTTTTTTTATTTTTTTCATATTCATGATTTTGCTATTCCTTTGTAATAATCATGATTTTCCTAGTACAAATTGTAAGCCTTCAAATTTTTGGACCCAAATCCTATCTTTTGGAAGGAGGGACTCCTTGGAATAGGTCCATCCCGCGGGCGCACCTACCTTTAATAAGGACTGAGCACGGCATGTCACATTATCATGTTTTCCCTTTTTTTTTTTTTCTTTTTCTTTTTTCGTGTGTGCGTGATCATGTTCTGCAAATAAACCTGTTCCAATTTATTTGGTTACAAAATTTTCTTATAAAATCAAGCACTTGCACAAAACTTTGTGGATGAGAAAGATATTGTATATTGCTCATATATGTAGGGATATTATAGTAATTATTACTTAATTTTTTTAGAAGTATTTTAGTAATAATTACTGAACTTTATCCACTTGATATATCTACTCTGGCGAAAGACTCACTTAGAAGAATCATTTGGATATTGAAATCCACTTTATTTTCAAATAATGAAAGCTGAATTTTAAGTTTTGAATCAATTGGATCTCTCTGCCAACCATAATGGGAAGATATAGGGATGCCATTTTTTTTAACATTTGTTTTAAGACGTAGCTAGGGGAGGAGGTTATATACTCATAATTTCGTCATAAATACTCCTAAATAAGGTTTTACCCAAGGAAGTAAATCAAAATATATTTTTTGGATTCTATATCAAAACCCATACCCTATAATTCAATGTAACCGTTTCGTATGAAAAAAATAAAGGGCGATAAACTTTTGAAAAACTATACAAACACCCATACCCAATGATTCTATTAGAGCATTTCTCTAAGACAGATGAAGCGAATGGATCTCATATTCTTTTTTCTTTTTACAATCTCCAAATTTATCCCTGTAGCAACAATTTGACCAAGTCTTGGGGTTGCATGTTATGTTTTCCACGTAATTAGCGAAATCATTTAATGTTTGAAAAGTCTCTAGTGAGCTTGAAAATCATTTGATCTGGATCGAAAATCAACAAGAATAGAATCGGTTTTGAGAAGAACATATATCTGCCTGGTTCCCCATAAAAAAACTTATTTTTATATTTTATGCATTTTTAGCTTTTTTGATACTTCCTTAGATATCTCAAAAAAATTGCTTCGGGTGTGATACGAAGTTCAAGAATTTTTTTTTTTTAAACTTTGAATCGCCTATGACATATTCACAATCACCTATTTTGAAATTTGATGGATATGATGATTATGACTTTTCTGTATTAAAAGTAAATGATCGATCTTTTTGTATATTTTTTTATTGAAAAAATATACTCATGAATTGAATATTATTGCTGATAAATGTTATTAATTTTCCTTAGAAGAAGATTAAACCATAGATAAAGAGAAGAAGATTACCCTGTAATGAATGAAATACATTAGTCTGAATATTTTGTGCAATAGCATTGTTTTAGTTCTTGTCAAGTTTTACATTAGTTGTTTGGGCCTAATTCAATTTGTGTCTGCTAAAGGACATTTTTTATTCACCATGGCATCTCTTTTGCACAATCTCCACCATCCATGCTAAATTGAGAGGTTGTTATGCTTGCTAGGGGTAAATATATAAATCCAAGCCGTTTATCTCTCCAAGCTGGTTTAAATAATGTGGTTCATATTGTGCTCATAGCTGGTAAAAAATTAAGTTAAAACGTCAATTTGGCGGTATTGGTTTACTACCAAATGATGATATTCTTCGGTCATAAAAGGGAAACATTTTCTTGGGTCAGATATACACAATTTTGTGTGGGGTTCGATAGCCATGTCCTCACTAGATTACTAGCATTACATTGGTAAGAATATAATACACCGGTCAGAATGTAGACTAGCATCTTAAAAATGCTTATAGTTTTTGTCGATATTATTGTCGACTCAGTTTTGCCTCATGAGACACAAAACTACATGCATCTAAAAACCTATTAACAAGCTCGCCTTTTTTTGCCAAGAAGTTAACCGCACAAAGTTATCAGTTCTCTATGGAGCGACATGGTGGCAATTGTTCAATCCGACATGCAGTTTCGTATAACTCTAGCATGATGGTGGTTTTTTTGTATAATATTTGTAGTGAATAAAAAATAAAAAAGGAAAGAAGAGGCCCATCACTATAGGAAAATTGTTTCATGCGGGCTGGACTGTATGACGACATATGCGGTTCAAAAAGTGTAAAGCATCATCTTAAAGATGAATGCAAGTAGATGTTCCATCTAAAAACAATGGAAACTAACGGTCCAAATGTTTTCTTACTAGTCTAGTTTTTAAAATTTACTTATTGTTTCATATTCGTGATCTCCATGTTAGAGATACATGTCCTTAAATATTAAGTCCAAAAATCCATCTCAAAAATAAATTTATTAATAGACCCGCATTTCTATATATGCTGGCTTGGCCACATAGAAACCGGGTCGATAACAATATGCATCAGCGGCCAATCACAAGTTTTTCAACAATTCGGAGAGAGAGAGAGAGAGAGAGAGAGAGAGAGAGAGAGAGAGAGAGAGAGCCACATCGATTAGTGTTATTGCTAATCTATCGTAGTATATTTACAGTATACTATCAAGAGACCATTTATCTTTCATAATTGAAGGTCAACACTAATTGTATTCATTAGATGTCAAATTAAATAGTTTGAAGTGAGACACAAAATCTCAGACAAATTGTTTTTGGAACTTTATATCTAATCAATGACTCTCTTACAACCATCCATTTTGAAATTCAAGGGACTGAAAATAATTGTGACCTCCTTGTATAAAAGATAAATGGTTCCTTTATAGACATGTAAGAAAAAGTTTATATAAAGCCACAATCTTATACTATTGAAGTAAGGTTAACATCAAAAATTTAGTAAAAAAGAGTTTTTTGAAGTTAAAAAGCCTTCCAATTGATCATCTTGACATTAACATGTATGGATCTAACGAAAAAACGAGTTTCCAATCCTAATAATAGTACATCTTTTAAGTAATCTAGACCGTTTATATTTAAGATTTCCAAGTTTCCATAGATACATTTGATATCCACCTTTTTTTTTGAAATTTTAAATTTCATAACTAAGGTTGCCGTCAAAGTTTTTGGTACCAGAACTATATCTTCTAGCAAAAATTTAGAAGTACGTCTTACTTGTATAGTATAGGGTGGGCACCTTTCAAACCTTATCGATACATTACAGTTTATGTTCCGTTTTGAGAATATCAATAAGTTAAGGATCTTAATACACTCTAATCAAATGACTTAATGACTATTGCTCCAAGTTGTAAACTCAAAAGTTATCTTTTAATAAAAAAAGTTCTTCTTTTTTTAAGTTGGGAACTAAAAAATGTGCATTTTGGTAATTTGGATTTACTTAAGTCCCTTAACAAAAAATAAATGTCTATGTTTGTTCTGGGTCCTAAACTCATCATAAAGATTCTTGATAATTATTCCAAGAATCTTTGAAGTAAGGGCAGTGAAGTTAGTTTGCTTGAGTAACTTAAGTGGGTTAAATTATCAAAAGTACAAAATACTTTTGCTGGTTAATGTTTCATATATCTAAACAGGTAATATGGGCATCATTTAATAAAATAATTAAGGAGGTTCATAAAAAAAATTGAAAAGGGAAAAACCAATTAACTTGTAAAACCACTTTACAAAATCATTAATATGGTCACACGGTCCCATTTACATAGAGCAATCTTGTTATTTATTAAGTTTTATTTAGTTAGAAAATGTTGTAAAAATGGCCAACTTTGCTGTTATTTAGTTAGAAAATCTCCCTTCTTTTGAAGACAACCCACATCTTCTGCTTTTGGGCCGAACTCTTTTAGTAGCATCCAACTTCATATTCTTACTCCTGATCACTTCCTCCACAGCCAACTTAATACTTGGATCGTCAAAATCACCCCAATGAAATTCATGAATATTTGACCCATGAATGGCTAATTGAGTAGAAACACCATCCGTGACTTCCCTTATCGGAGTCTCATTAAGCTGCTTGACATATCGATCAGCAAGCAGATTACAAAGACTCATAAGAGCTCTTCTCACTGAACTGCTTTGTCTTAACATCGCCATTCTTCTTCTGCAAGTGTCTGGGGGTGCAGGTAAATTAGGTATAGTTGTCCAGTCAACACGATTAAATTTTGCACCCAAAGCCACACGGTGCCTTGCATACTTGATCACCATGCGCCTGTTTTGCATAAATGCATCATTTTAATTTTGAAAATTACATGTATCACTTTGGTGATCCCCTCATAAATAGAAAAGAAACTGCAATTGAATGCAAAATCTTCTTAACTATCTGATCCATCTGACCATTGAAATTTCTTTTTGCGTGATGATTTCAACTTCGAATGGGTAAACTGATTGATAAAAGTACCCATATCCCCATCTTCATTGATAGAATTATCAATCATGTATTCATCATGATCATGTGGAGAAGCATGACTGAAGTTTTGAATTGTTTGGTCCTCTGCATCTTTTTCAGATGGCGCTCCTTCATTTGATGATAAAATGGGAAGAACCAACGGGGATCTAGACAACGTATTCTCAGAGGTTTTCTTCTTTTTAGAGGCATGATTGCCAATATCGCTTTTCATCAAATGGGACACCTTTTGTTTTGCAGATTTCCTAGAATCATGAAGAAGTGGTTGGAGACGGACTTTCCTATTCCTATCATAAGATACCCAAAGCACCTGCACCCAGCATCTCTCAGAAGAACTATACTCACTTTTTCTTTTCCTTTCTTTTTTCTTGGAAAGTAGCAAAAGAATAACTAAACTTAATATGAATACCTAAATTAATAGGGAAAAAAAAAGGGACTTGAGAAAAAGCAAAGGGAAGCACTAACAGGTAAAATTCTGTTATTTAAGATTGCAATGCAATAGATACATCAAAAAGTTTGAGTGGTGACCAGTCAATACAAATATAGGTTCCTCAAATAAAATGACAAGGTAATCAAAGAACCAACAAGATCCAGTAAGTAATGAAATTATGTCTATTTTTTCATTGATACAGAAACAATTTCCTGTTAGCAATATCACTAGTAAAATAGCACCTGTTTCTTATAGAAATATCTATCCTACCGCTCCTAGTATGACGAAAAATGCTCTTACTCAAAATTTCTATTACAAAACAAGGGGCAATGAGTGTTAAAAAATACTGAGTAAATTAAAAAAATACTCATATGTAAGAGCACCCTAACATAACATAAAATGAACTTATTTAGTTATATTTTAAATATTCAAAATTTAATTCTATGATAAAAATTTCAAACTTCAAAAGAAAAATTGATAAAAATATGCAAATTAAAATTTACTTAATTATAGTTTTGTATAAGTCGTTCTTCTACTCTTTCTCTCTTTCTTCCATTTACCCATATCCCTCTATTTTCGTTTCACAATGCACAATCAATATTGATTCATTTGTACATAAAAGGATTTCCATTGCTGCAAACATAAAATAGATAATCCTATAGTGAATGAATGCTTCCTTGGATCTTAAGAAAAGTTCCTTTGAAGAAATTATAAATTGGTAAAAAATTTATTCAAAACGATTAAAAATCTATTGTCTTTTCAGACAAAAATAATGTTAATTGACAGGAAAATAAAATTAGTAGTTCTATTTGTCTTATTAGCAATTAACGTAAATCTTTATCCATGCAATGCGTCAGTAAAGGTGTTTTATTTGAACGAGATAGAGAAATTTGTGTGACAATGATCCTGCACTATCACATTATATATTTTCTCCATGTAGAAAGCTCATTTTCAGAATATTTTTATGTAAATTTTAGTCTCCATTTTGGAACGTATGGATTATTGAAAATAAAATAAAATGTAGGGATGATATTTCAATTTAGCAATATACAAATCCATTGTTTAAAACTTAGAGTACGCATTGAGGGAGCATCAATAGATATTATGTTCAGAATAGATAGCAATGGTTTTAATAATGTTGTAAAATAAAAAGTTCACCTAAAATGGTTTAGAAAACTACATTTTCTATTTTTATTTTTTTTATGCTATTAACTTAATTTTAAATTGTGAATAGAATTCCTACTAACACGAAATTACAATTTTAATGTGTGTTAGCTTTTGAGTAACAATTTGATATCCTATATAAGTAATTACGCATTTGAATGTAATTGAAAAAAAACTTTTATATTTTTAAGTAATATATAAAATTAATTAGAAATTAAAATGAAATAAATGTAATGCCTAGGCTTTAAACAAAAATTATCAAAATTATCGCTAATATTCCTCATAATTTGTTAATTACAAAAAACCATTTTTTTTATTTTTACATGCATATCTATTTTTCTTGAAAATTTTCATCATATAACATTGTTACGATCCCATTATAATTGTACTGCCTGGAGCTCTCTAAAGGATCTATAAGATCCACAGCTCTATATTTCTGTAGCACTGGGTGATACGGTTTTGTTTGAACATTGAAGTTTTTAGCACTTCATAAAAATGCAGGGATCACCAAGAGTCCCAACATGATCTTACAAAATTGTGGTGGTGTTTGCCCCGTTATGGAGATCATATAACAACATTGTCTTTTGCGCCACTACCAAAATGTGGCCCCTTTTTGGGTACTTCTTCCCAAATTGGGAAGTGTCATATGCACTGCAGATCTAATAGATCCGTAGAGCCTAACCTTTGCGGGCCTATTTTGGGTATAACAAAATATTTCCATAAAAACAAGTTGTCATGTAGAAAATAAGGGATTGTATAGAATAAGACCATTTACCATTCTTACAAGGAGGTCACAATTGCTACTAGTCATTATATGTCAAATTGAATAGCTTGGGTGTATCACAAAATTCGAGAATATTTTTTTGAACTTTGAGTCGAGTCAATCACACTCACAACCACCCAATTTGAAATCTAACAGAAAAGATTGATTGTGACATGCTTGTATTAAAAGTAAATGCTCTCTTTGAATACTTTCCCAAGAAATAGAATTTTAGATGTTTTTGTAATAACAAAAACTATAAGTGATATTAATGATAATTTTATTAATACGGTGATGTCATCATCACAAACGGTTAATTGAGACTCAAAGTTTGACATTTATTGATGGGAGTACTTTCTTGTAAAGTATTAGATAATTGAAAACGTGAGTGGCACGTGTATTACCTATGCTATAAAAGTAGTTCTGACTTAAATTTATTTTTTAATTAATTAAGGGTGAGTTTTGTATATGGCACCCCCTTTACAGTGTAGAACTAAGGCACACCTCTAAAATGTGCTTGGAGATGTAGTTCTGGTTTTGAAAACCTTACGATGGCTTGAAAATTTATTTTTATCCCTATTTACGAAATTTAAAATTTCAAAAATGTTACGGATCAAGCAAATATAGAAACACCTAAAAATATTTAAAATAGATGGTCTAGATAACTTGTTACAAGATGAACCATTTTTAGGACTTAAATTTCTTTTCTTTTATATCCACACATCTCGAAGTCAAGATGATTGATTGGTGGATTTTCCAACATCGAAACACTCTCTTCTAGAGGATTTTTTTGGTGCACCACACTTTAATAGTTGAAGGTTGCAACCTTATAATAATTTTTTTCATTAATTAATGATATTTCTCAAATATAAAATTTATAATTATAAATCTAAACTCATTTAGATTTATCAATTAAACTTTAATAAACATAACATTTTATTAAGTTGATTGAGATTTAATTTTAAAAAGGAAAACTTACATTTAATATCCCTTATAGTTGGTGATATTTAAAAATTCCCCCATACTTTACACTTACACTCATGTTTCACTTTTTTATTTTTTTTGGGTAAATCATTGAGAAAAAAAAAAGGGGTAAGTCAAGGATTTGGACCCCTACCCTTTGGTGAGAATGAAGTCAAAGGCTTCATCATAGGGCTCGTTGGTTCTACTACCAAGGCCCCAACCCATTCTCAAGTGGTAAGTCAGTGGGGATTTGGGCTCATGTTCCACTTTTCATATTTTTTTATTTTTCCCCAAAATAGTTCCAAACTGCACATCGTAAAGAATCCAAGCAGAGCACCTAACTATCTGAAATCACTTATTACAGTGACTCAAAGCAGTTCGAAACAAACAGTTCCAGACTCTCATTGCAAGGAATCTAAGAGGTCTAAAACCTATTAGTTCTAAACCACTAATGAAAGGAACCAAAATGATCTGAAATTAACATCTTTTGAAAATAGATATTAAAATTAGTTTCCGATGTTTTTATTATTTTATTCAATGGAAAACTAAATTATTAACCAAATATTTAAGAATTTGATAGTTTAAAATTGTGTTCATGAATTGAAAATTATTCCAATTCATAACCATCATCATCAGAGCCTTTTTTCAACTATTTTGAGTCATTTAAGAAGTAACCAAATAAACAAATAATGCCAATAAGCAGTGAAATTGAAAAGAAAACTCACCTCAGGGTTCTTTGATTCAAAAGCAATTGGTGTCGCAACATGGAAAACTCCATCGCATCCCTTGACAGCTTCATCAAAGATACCTTCGTCATAAAGGTCTGCATTCCAAAGCGTGAGTTTCATGTTTGCCTCTGGCAAATCAAGGAGATGCTCTGTCTTCTCCTATGACAAATGAATGATCCATAGCATCAGCAATTGAATTATTGCCATGTAAAAACTGAAATATATAGGAATGAAGAAAATGTCCTTAAAATATAAAGAATAAGAAAATAATAAAATACATGTATATAGGATCATGAACTCGCCCCCT